CATAACTCTAAATTTATCCGTGTTAAACAGTGTCTTGTTAAATTCAGCTTTGTCCAAGATTTTGAAAGATCTTGGCTCTGGCATCAAGTATATTTACCCAGTCTTTCCATCTTCACATCATTCAGAAATTCAAGGAGCTTACTGCTAATGTACTCAACCAATCACTGCTAACACTGTCTGTCGAATGTGGTCAGGGTGAAGTCAGTCATTCCCACTTCCCCTATGGTCTGTTGATCATCAGGATACTTAACCTGTATCTATCCATCTGTGTCCAAGGAAGACAGATAAATTTTGTTTAATAGTTACTCAAATTCAGATGATTTATGCTTATGCCACTCACTGTTTAACTAAAGTGGGGAGCTAATAACTTTAGAAGATGAAGGCAAACATGAAGATGAACAAAGAAAGAGAACAAGGATGAAGATGAAGGAGACAAGGTGGAGAATGGAAAAAAGAGGAAAAGGAAAGATAAGAGCATAGAAATTTTGTTTAAAATTATTTACCTAAGGAATAATTAAAAATAAAAATAACAGAGAAAGTGATAATATAATTCAGCCACACAACAAAGAGAACCACAGATATTTTTAATTTCATTCCCTTCATTCAGGAAAGAAAATATCTAAACCAAAGTTACCAAACCTATGTTGTGCAGAACTGAATATTTACAAGTGTCATGTTGGTAGAATAGATGTTTTAATTGCAGGACTTCTCCCACCCTTTATCAGGCTAATGTCTCATGTTAGCCACCAAAAGACTACAGTATTCAGAAATAAACAGATGGATTCGATCAGGAACCCTTTTTACATGAGCCATCTTTCAAGATCGGGGTTACCAGAGCACATTTTGTGAAATGGTAGAATAAACTATCCATTTTATTGTTTGACCTACTATTGAGCACATGGAAATGATTGTCAAATTTATCTTGACTTTATGAACAGGAATTGCTTTAGTTTGATTTTTCTTCATTGCAAAAGAGGAAGATAAAGCAATCATTTGTAATATTTAGCTACAAAAAGCACAATAAAAATGAAATTCAAATAGGAAACCATATCTGATTTAGAGAAAGATATTAGGCAAAAGATTATAAAACATCATATTCATCATACTGCCATTTACTAACTGTAGAATAATGAGCAAAGAAGCTACTTCTCTGTGTTTTGATGTTCTCTTCTGTGAAATGGCAATAATCTTATCCTTACTAGATCACAGGGCTGTTGTTGGTATCAAATGAGATAATGTCTATGAAAATGTCTTATAAATGTAAAGCATTTTCAATTTGTAACTAATTTTTTTCAGAGAAGTCTTAGTGGCTGAACAGAGTGAAGGTCTACCTCATGCTCAAGTCTGCTGCAGGTCATGGAGGCTGCTGGTTGTGTTGGTGCACTTTACTTAGTCATTTAGAGAGCCATTTCCATCCAGTGGTACTATCTTCACCATGCAACCTCCAAAGTATACCTTGTGAAACTGGGAAAGACAATGGAGGATAGAAGTACATGGAGGTTTTGGGGGGGGGGGGGGTTATGGTACTGAGGATTGAACCCAGGGCCTTTGCCCTGAACTACATCCCCAGCACCTTTTGTTATTTTTGTCTTGAGATAGGTTCTCCCTGAGTTGCCAAGTTGCACAGGCTGGCCTCGAACCTGCAATCTTCCTGCCTCAGGCTCCCCAGAGTGCTGGGATATCAGGAACATGCCACAATACCTGGCTGCACATGGAAGTTTTTAAAGGAGCCATGCCATCAATCAAAACATGGACACATGGGCCCAACATACCTACTAGGGGCTCACAAAGTCACTCAGGAATGTGCCCAGACAGAGAGGAAAAGGATATGTGTTGATATTCTCTGACAAGGTATTTCTAGCAGATGATTCCAAGAAGAAAGAAGATTCTCTATTGTGCCTTGCACCCTGTTAGCTGGCGGGCTGTTCTCTCTGAACCATCTAAATCTGTGGCAACTTAATTAAGACTGACTCAAAAGAAGGATTTCACATTTTAAACTAACAAAATGCAATTTAAATTTATTCCCTCTAAATAAAAAGAATTTAAGTTTTGGAAACCAGGCAAATGAGATGATCCTCATTAGAACTTTCTAATAATTAAGTACAGCTAATGCTCTGAGAAAAAATTCTCCTACCTTTTTCACAGCATGAGGTGCAGGATGCCTGAAGGTGCTCTTCCACTTACAGAAAAGCTAAATAAGAAGCCAATTAACTGTTTTTAATAATATTTTAACTTGTTACAGAAATTACAGCTTTCATCATACAAATGTTTAATATAGATAAGTAGCTTTTACACATTTTCCTTTAACTATTTTGTACCATATGAAGGTTAAATCTTTGAAGACTGCTTCTCCATAGGGAAAAATATGAGTGAAACAAGCCTTCTCTCTTTACCTTGTGCCTAACTTAACTTGTGCCCACTCTCACAGTTGTGAAGAAAGGCTGTTCTCTACTAGCCCACTCCTATAGTAGTCACTAAGCTATTGACGATCTCTTCCTGCATAACAAACTACCCCTCAACTAGGTCTTCAAGCAACAACCACCATTTATCATCACTCACAAGTTCATGATTGACTGGGCTCAGCTGGGTGAGTCTTCTGCTCCAAGTGGCTACAGCTCTGTAAAGATTCAAACAAGCTGGAACATCTAATGACTGACTTCTGTGGCAGGCAGTTTGATTGACATTGGCTGAAAATTCAGTTTGAGGTGTTGACGGAGCATATCAGTTTTCTTCCACATGGGACTCTCCACATGACCTGAGCTTCTCATGACATAGAGACTGGGCCCCAAGAAGGAGCTCTCCAAGAAGGGGAGGTATAAGCTGTAAATTTCTTAAGGCCCAAACTGAATAGTTAGTATGACTTTTACCCATTCAAATCAGGTCACAGGCCAGCCCAGATTAATGGGAGGGAGAAACAGATGGCTAATTACATTGCCAGAGATGATAGGAGGAAAGGTATGGCTGTGGCTATCTTTGTAAATATACCCTACTGCATCTCTTTGGCATCTCTGGTTAGTGCCTTTGAGGACCCCCTCCTCACCAAGGACAATAGCTTACAAGTACTTATAAAACACCTCAGGCACTACACCTTGTACCCAGAGACTTTCTCCCAGCCCCACAGCCTTCTTCTCTTTAAGTCTTCTCACTCTTCAGTATGGCTTTCCAGACTTGAACCTATACACTTCCTCTCTTCCAGGTCTCTGTAATTTATGACTCACTACAGGAGCAGAGACAGCTCTAGCACATCTCTTTGTGAGGAGCTTGGAGAAAAAAGGGAAAGTCAAGTGTGCTGCTTGTGTTGGGCTGGGGGTTATCTTGGGTGATGGGTAGGGAATAGGGGGTGTGGTGGAGGTCACGAGAGAGTTAAATCACCCATGGTGCCACCTTTGTAGACCTCTGCAAAAAGCCACACGTACACATTCATGTCCAAATAGCACACAGAAACATAAACACTCACTCACACATACGTTCACAAAAACACACACTCACAAACACAGACTAACACTCATTCGGTCATACACAGAGCCCCTGTTGTAGTTTGGATATGGACTGTCCCCACAAAGCCTCATGTGTTCAGAGGTGGGGCTTTTGGAAGATAATTAGATCAAGGGGAGCTATACTTATCAGTGGATTAATCTACTGATAGGTTCATAGCTGAACGTGTTGTTAGTGGTGGAACCAGGTCAGAACAGCCAGGTTATTAGGGACATGACAGGGCAGGGTACATCTCCCTCCCTGGCTCCTGCTTTTACTCTCTGCTCGCTAGCCACCATGACATGAACAGCTTTCCTCCACCAGACCCTTCCACCATGCTCTTCCTGCTTTGGAACCAGCCAACTACAGACTGACTCTTCTAAAAACTGTGAGCCAAAATAAATCACTCCTGCTTTAAGTTGTGGATGTTGGGTATTTTGTCCCAGTGACAAGAAAATGACTAGACATCACTCATAGATACTTATATCCCTACAACAGACATAAGCATAAATACAGACCCATACATTTACATAAACACAAACATTCTCACATGCAAACACATTGCCACAAATCAACACATCCACACAAGCATACACACTCACATCTCCACTTTTACCCACCGAGCACATGCAAATACAAACACACACATCCATTCACATAAGCATGTTCTCATAAATACATGCTCACATCACTCAAACACACTCTTACAAACCCACACGTTTTCACATAAACACACACAGACACTGTCACACACTCCCACAAAGACACACATTCATACACTCACATAAAGTCATACCTAAAACTCAATGTTCAGTATCTTAGCAAATCCAGAGGTGAGTGAGGGGGGTCATTGATTTCCCTTGAGCTCATTCTCTAAAGGTGACACCTTTTCAACTATGTGCAGGTAAAATGTCGCCATGGTGCTTACTGACTGTGATCCTGAGATGAAACAGCATGAAAGAAGCACAGTGACGAGAATGTAATCAGAGGGGGGCTTTCTTTGTGCTTACTTCCACACCACCAAATGAGCACCCCTCCACGTCACCCCAGGCCCACCTTCCTGCCATTAGAACCTGGCTGGGCCTCTGCTCAAAGCTCCAGTTATCTGGGAGTAGGTGGCAGCAGCCCAGGGTTCCAGGAGACCATTTTTGGTGACAGCCTTCCCCACAGAGACATTGATCAGTGATTAGATCAAGCTCCACACAAGCCCCAGGGGCTTGGATTCCAAGAAAAGATGATGTAGCAGAGGGCTTTCCATTGTATAGACATCTATTGTGGGCTTCAGAAAACAGAAGAAGCCCATCCTGGAAAGGGTTTGCAGAGGGAAGAGGAAGAGAAGGTCAAGGTTACTGTAGGGCAACAGGATGGAAAGGGAGTGGAAACTGATCCCTTTCTAAAAACTCACCAGCCTCTACCATTTTTAATATTTCTTTAGTATTGTGAAAATAAAAGGGTCAAAGGGAGATAAAGGTGAGCTTTTATTCAATTGAGGATACATACTGTTTTTGTCCCTTTGCACATTCATTTCACTTTAGTGTCAAAGAGAAAGCAGCAAGTCGAAATCCCATGGACACAGTTCATTTGTTTTATTGGTAAGGTTGAAGCAAAATCATTTGAAAAGACTACTACTTTATATCATGATGCATACGTCAATCTTTCAACTTCAAACGTAGCCTCCAAAAAAAAAATCAAAGTTGATTTTTTTTCTTTTTTGGCTAAGTGTACAATGACAAATGTACCAATTTTAGGTTCCAAAAGAAAATCTCAGTCTCGCACTGATTTCTCATCACTGAAGGCTGGTAAATCAGAGAAAAGGAAATGATTGGCAAGGAAAAGAAAGACCAGAAAACTGCACTGTCAAAAGTGTGTTCAGCCCAATAAATATTTACTGAGAATCTTCTATGCATTAGGAACTATGCTGGCATTGGAGATAGCAAGATGAAAAAAAAAAAAAAAAAAAAAAAAAAAAAAAGATCCCTGTACTGAAATGGTTTATGGCCTGGTTAGTCAAGCAGACAAGGAAAGAGACAATATTATTTAAAAATTGCCAAGACATGCAAAAGGTGCTATGGGAACATAGAGGAGGAGCACTTAGCCCCACGCAGAGGAGATGGCATTAGCGCTGAGAGCTGCAGAATAAATAGAAGATACTCAGGCAGTAAAGCAGCTGACAGGGTCAACCTGGATCAGAACAGGCCAAGAGACATGAAATAGCAACGCATGCACAGAACAAAAATGCCAAATCATTCAAAGCCTCTGGGGCGTTACATGTTAGTCAAGAAGCACCAGGGAATGAAGCTGGAGAGGAGAGCAGGCAGGAGAGATCCCATGTGCATGTACAGAGCTAATCATCACCCAGAGGTGACTGGAGACGGTGGATTCCAATGGCAAGATCTGCATTTTAAATAGGGTCCCTCTGGCAACACTGAAGAGAATGGAGAGGATGAAGGTAAGACCAGAGGTAGGGGACCGGGTGGGGGGATACTATGATGGCACCAGCAAGAGATGACAAGGTACAAGAAAGGACAATCTTGGCAGGGAGAGAGAACAGGAACTAGATTCAAAAAATATTTAGGGGGAAAAATTGGCAGGATGTTATTAATTAGGTGTGGGATAAAGAAAAAAAAGGAAAAAGCACCTTAGGGAATTGGTGGAATTAATTAAGACAGGGTCTATAGAAATAAGAGGAAGGCTTTGGGAAATTTGAAGAAGTCAGTTTGGGAAATATTAATTAAAAAAACAAACAAACCTGGGAGTTGCCAAGTAGACAACCCCAAAGCCCAAAGCTGTGGTGAAAGGTCAGGAGGAGATAAAAGGTATTGGGAATTAGCATTCAGGATGGACAGAAATCTCCCAAGGAGCAGGGTGAGAAAATCAGTAGCTGAGGCAGAAGACAACATCATTATGTTCAAGTAACACAGGTAACAACTATGTGATTGTTATAAAATGGTGCCTGTATTTAAAAGTCTGGTACCAAACAGCTTGTGCCATTTATTGGATGAAAACCAGGAAATTATATTCTAACCAGAGAAATCTTGGTGCCTGTGGTCAGGTAGCAAATCCAATCTTATAGCTTCTTCTCCTCCAGTTTCCCTTCTTCCATTCTCTCATCAGCCTGCAGATAGCAATAATGGCAATTGAAATTTTTTTTCACTCTTTATTATGAAACACCTACCATGTACCCGGCACTGGATTGGGCTCTACGGTTACCAAATGAAAAAAGTATGATCCCTGTCCTGGAGAGATCAATGCTATGGTTGAACTTTCTGTTGTCAGATGGTTATTCTTTCCACTTCCCATTTGCTTATTCACTACAATGAGTCGTACTGTCTGCCCAGCCTGCTAGAATCAAGATGCCCTTCATCTGGCATCTTTCCGGCCAAAATGTTTTGTGCTTTATTTTTGTGGCCTGGAAGTTTCTGTAAGATATACAGAAGGCCATTTGAGAAGTCTGTGGCAAGTTGAGACAGTAGCCTACAAAGTACTTACTATTGAATGGCAGAACAAAGAGCAGAGGTTCTCAACCCTCTCTTTGGCCTTTTTTGTCCTCCTTTCTCCAAGTTGAGTTTTCAAGGTTTCCTTTCTGTTCTCCCACCCTGAAAATTATCCCTCCCACTGCTTCTGTGGGAAGAGGCCATTGACACCCTGAGATTGGACAGTATCAGAGAGCATAGTACCCTCCAAAGTCTGGGGGAACTCTGTTTTCACTTTCATTCTGTCATTCAGTGGCACATAGCGAGATCCCACCATGTATAGCCTTCTAGTTATGGTGCAGTGGAAATGGTAGGCAAGAAGGCAGACAAAATTTTCTTCCTTCATGGAATTTATGTTCTGGTAAACTCTAGCACCAGCCTGGTAGAGTAGCACCAATACATATATGTGCTCTGGTGTCCAAGTGGACTCTGAGACCCCACCTCTAACATTCACCTTCTATTCATTCAGAATGAGGACACCTACTTTGTTATGGTCCTTCCATCCTTTCTGCCTAACTTCATATATGCAGCAGCTACATCTTCATTACCTTTGGTTTATCAGCCTTTGCCTAAGTGAAGTAAATATGAAACAGATTTAGTAAAGCAAAGGGACACACTGACATGATTTTGCAGTAAAAAAAAAGTGAGATTAGTGCAAAGTTTTAATTCTAAAAATTAGGTTCAACTTACAAGCCACATTGATTTATATTCTTTAACGTGCGCACCAATTCTACAACTGCCAGAGAAGGAGGAAGATTAAAGAGTAAGTACTGCGTCTGGCAACAAAGGGACTCAACAGTGACACTGCCCCATGGTGGGGAGAAAGAAGAAGGAGGGAAATGGATCCAAATTAGCTTCAACCATACAAAGTGTCATTTAAACAAGAAGATACAATATGATAGATTAAATTGTTGATCACATTCTTTCATTCCCATGAACAAAATTACACATGCACACCCTTGTGTAGGCTGACTATACCTTCTTGCCCTTTGACTTTGGATTGACCATGTGACTACCTCTGACCAAGGGGATGTCAGTAGACCTGACTGGGGCAGAGGTTGAAACGTGCTTGTGGAGCTTGGTTTAGAGCTCTCCCACACACCTGTCAAAGATGAGTCAAACATTCTTTGGCTAGCCATCCCCCTATCAACCTAAGCTCTGGTGAGTTACATGGGATAGAGCCAACTCCTACCTGCAGCTTGTCCAAAGATCAGACAAATGACCTACCTACCTATTAGCAAGAACAATAAGTATTTATTGTTTAATTTACTGAGATTTCAAAGTTTTGGTGTTGTATTGATTTGGCACCAGCTGACTGATAAGAAGTGCTAAGACTCATTCATACAAAGGGTTTTCTTGAGTATTCTATGAATATCAGTTTGCTACCTACATCAAAGGCAAAAGGCATCTACATTCTTGGCTCTACTGAGGCAGGTCATACAGAGCCCAGGGTCCTCTAGCTCTCTCATTCCATTGCTGCCATCATTCAGGTTTAATGAACTGCTCCTCTATTTGTCTAATGTCACTGTTTTCCCCAACTCTGCTGTACAGTACCTGGACTGTCTAGGAAAACCCATTACCTCTATTAGTCTGCCAATAGCAAATCAGTAGAATTGCTTGTTCCTTAATTGATAGAATATACTCCCCTCCTCCTGATAGATTACCCTGGCCTAACAGCTCCAAGACCGATTCCCTAGCGTCTGACTGCCATCCAGTCCAGAGCAATTGGTTGATACTTTCAGTAATAAATCCTAACCTATCAATATATAATAGCTCTTCATAATCAACATCCACAGATTCTGTCTGGGTTCAAAAGTAACCACCAGTCATTTTTTACATGCCTATAATTAGCAGTGGCCAGATAATATTTGTGCCTCTTAGCACAATACTCCTTCCCTGTCCAATAATGATAACACATTTTACATAAATTCAAGTTCATTTAATTCCCTTGTCAGAGTATGGAGATATAAATATATGTATACATGTGTAATGTTCTGTAAATTAAAATAGTTGGGCTGACCTGTGTGCTGCAGTGAGAGAATCCAGTTCTACTTCTCCAGGAGGCTGACTCTGGGCTGGTGCAGAACAGCAGTCTCCCATGGATCAGCAAAGATGGCCAGCTGGAAGAGGTAATGCACATCATTTATTAAAGCTCCGTCCATCTAAGTGGATTTTGCAAGCTAATGAAGATCTCGTCTCCATCTAAGAGCAACCAGTCTTGGACCAGCGTGTATAGCCCACTGACATTTAACACCAAAAGGGTACCTTCATACAGAAAAAACAATTAACATTAAGGTGAACTAATAGGAAGGAGGTAGCTAAATGCATACCCATCCCTCAAATGCCCCCTATCATGCAAGTTTATCACCCATGGGCAAAAGAGGAACAAGAATATCCCCTTGCTTCTTATAAATTAAATGCTCAAAAGAAAGCCGGTGAGAGGACGGAAGAAAAAGTGCCCTAAACAAGGTAATAAAACTATAAACTTAATGAGGGCCAGTTTACCATTTTGCAGTCTCTCTACTTTATAACATGCCCTTTATAACATGCCCTTATGAGCCTGTCAGGATAATGTAATTGAGAACTTGCTATAAAACATATGCTTAATGGAGCCAGGGGCCAAGGAAAACACTGTGTAATTGTAATAAGCAGCCTGGTAAGTAAAATGATATCTTTTAAAGGTTAAAATAGAGTTGCTTTCAGAACTGGGCCAGTCTGCTTCTTCAAATATTGCTTCGCTAATGATTTCTTCACTTCACTTACAAAATGTATCTCTGAGGAGATTTGTTACAAATGTGATCCCTGCCTGGGAAGTAAACTGCTCACCCTACAGAAGGCTCGAGCATTTATTCTCCAGTTTTATATAACTTGGGGAATGATGTTAAAATTGGCAAATGCATCTGAGGCACACCAGGCCACAGGATTTTTTTTAATCCACTCATTGTCCAATGCAGTTTAACTTGAAAGAGATACAACAGAGAAAAGATTGATCCTTTGTGGCCTATTCTCTTTCCAGAAGGTAAAAGCAATTCCCATCAACAGAGCCCAGTGCTCCGTGGGGTCATCTCCATTCTGCTCTGGGGAATTTGTTACTCATCAGGGCATGAATATTTTTAAAAATAAGAAAGAAAAAAGTAAAAACTTAAAACTGATTCTGAGATCTGGAAGATGCACCTGTTTAAGGCCTATCCTTCATCTAAACCCAGTGCTTGCTGACTCTGACTTCTAAGGTCCTTCCTTTGGAGGACCAGATGAGTTTACTCAATAACAACCTTTGAGAATGGTGCTTCTTGGGCTTTGAGGTTGGCATTTGTAAAAGCATCCAAATCTACCGACTCTACTCAATTCCCTTAGCTGGTGTTCATTATACAACAGGTGGGGGGACCAGGAAACTCACAACTTGCTAGAGGAACAGCCTGGTTCCCACTGAGCATACCTCAGGAGGCAGCGTGCTCCCATGGGAACTGCTGTGTGGCACCAGGTGCCTCACATTACTCTCTGGACTGCAGCTAAAGCACCTGTGAGAAACAGGACCACTGTAATGGGTACCACAGGAGAGGCTGACCTAGCAGATCTCTGAGCCACTTCTAGCATAATGAACTGTGATCTGGAAAGATCATAAAATTATGTGCCAACAATTATGTGCCAAATGGCCCTTAGTCTCTGCTCTCCCTTTTCTTCTATAGTAGAAAACTCCTGAGTTCTAGCTGAACATAAAGTTACCCAGAAGAAAGACAATACTTCCCACCCTTTCTTGAGGTCAATATGTGACTAAGTTCTGGCCGATGAGAAGTAAACAGAGGTGTCAAATGTCATCTTCCCCAGGAACCTTCCTTAAAAGACAATTTGTGTATGCCCTTTGTCATCTTCCCCAGGAACCTTCCTTAAAAGACAATTTGGGTATGCTCTTTTCCAATGATTTGTCATGCTGCCTAGAACAGAGATTTGTGGCCCAAGCTCTTGCTGCTATTTTGGACCATAAAAATGAGGGCTACACCTGAGAAGAGTGAACCTGAGTTTTCCGTCTAGTTCAGCCCCAATATCAGTCCTGGATTGGCCACTTCCACACATCTATGCACCAAATAGTTAGAAATAGACTCTCTTGTTAAAGCCACTGCCATGTTACTTGCAGATGATCTATGCATTATGTGTAATATGTAATGCTATAACTAACTTATTCATTTCACAAATACTGACACAGTCTATGCATAGTAGTCATTCAACAGAGTTATCTTTTGAAAATACAAAGCACATATCACTTCCATGCTTAAAAGCCTCCGGCAGTTCCCATTACCCATAGAATAAAAGCCAAACCCCTCCCATGCCCTACAAGCCCTTCTTCAGCAGGCCTCTGTTTCACCACATTTCACACCTGACTCCATCATGGCACAGTATTGCCCCCCCAACACACACACACACACACACACACACACAAACACACACACTTGTTATCTTTCTACTTCAATAAACCATCGAATTCATTTTGATTAGGGAAAATTTTCCATTTTCCATTTGTTATTCTTGAAATACTTTTATCCATTGTTTTGCATGGTTGATTTGCTTTTATCGTTTCTGCCCAAAAGTCACTCTCCAGGGAGATCTTCCTTTATCAGCCTTTCTAAAATAACTGCACACCATTACCACCATATAGAGAAATTCTCCACCATTATGTTATCATCTTCAAATACTGAGATGATCTTGTTACTTTACCTAATCTCTCCATATAATATAAAGAACATGAAAATAGACTACATTGCTCTTCTACGTATCTGAGAGCCTAGAATGGTGTATGGCAAATAGATGAGTATTCAGTAAATACTGATTAAATAATTAGGGGATCTGGAGGACTGTGTTTGAAATAGAAGAGGAAAAAATAGAGTTTTTTAAAAAGTGAAGCATCTCTCTGGTCCAAACAAGAACACATATAGATTCACAAACCCTTGGACACAGATCTCTCTGGCATTCAGGAGTTTTGAAATTTTAGCAACGTAATTTAGTGCATACATCATTTTTTGTGTAGCACCTCAAATGAGATTTAGGACAATATCCCATAACAAAATATGTTAATTTTTGCAGAAAACAGAATATTCACACAATGTAGGATAAAGCCTGAAAATAGCCTTTGCCAGCTTATGATACATTTGGCCATCAAATGCAGGTCAAATTTTGCTGCCAAAGATGATGGAAAGAATTTTAATTTATCAGAGCTTTTTAGACTTCAGAATTGCAAATAAGGAACTCTGGACCCATATCTTAAAAAATCACTGGAGAGGGCCGGGGATTTAGCTCAGTGCTTTCGCCACCTGCTGCGCAAGTGCAAGGACCCGAGTTCAATCCCCGGTGCCAAAAAAAAAAAAGAAATCACTGGAGAGACTTCTAGAAGAGCTGATACATAGCCAATGATGTCTAGACAATTCTTTAAACACAAGTATTATAAATTTGCTATTTCTTAATTATCCTTATTCTATCCAGCCAAAATACATTCTTTTTAAAAAGTGTATCTTATTATCCCCAAAGATCCAAAAAATATTTAGAAAGAAAATATTTGTGTAACTGATAATTCAGTAGTCATGGAACCACCCAAAGTGCTTTGGAAATGAGGATAAACAAGTGACTAAGATAGTAGTAGCAAGCACTTGCTGAGCAATTACTATGTGCCAGCAGCTTTCTAAGCAGTGCTCATATATTTATTCATTTTTATAACAATGCTATGAGTAGGTGCTATTATTATTTTCACTTTACAATTGACAACATTGAGGCCAGAGAAGTTAAATAGCTCCTCCAAGGTCATAGCACTAACAAGAGGCAGAACACAAACCCAAGACCTCTGACACTAGGGCCTGTGCTCATGATTCTTACCCTAAACAATTTTATTGACAGATGATTTTGTTCGGCAATTATGAGTTGACCACTATAGGTGAGTGCACAATTACAGTTACTTCTACTTATGTAGCCCCATCATATCCATCCCTTCTCCATCCTAAATCCTAGCCAAGTAAAACGGACAAAATTGAGCATTACCAATTTGAAAATGGCTACATAGGAAAATGAAGGAAAGAGTAGTTAGACTGTGGGGAGGGGCAGGTAAAGGAGCAGACTAGGGTAAAAAGTGGATAATAATTCTAAGGTTAGACAGAAGGAGCCAGAGACAAGACCAGAGGCAGAAGGAATAGCCAGAAAGAGAAAGGGTGGGGCAGCCAGAAACCTGGGGGATGGGCAGCATCCCCTTTGACACCCCAGCCTGGGCCACCATAATCTTGCTGGCTTTTCATGATCACCAGCACAGCAGACCCACTGTCTTCCACTCTCACTTGTACAGTTCTTTCCTATATGAGAACAACTGTTTTTAAAATGTTTGCTGAGTTGGGCTAGCACTGGTGATACAAAGAAAGGATAAAACATCCTTAGCCAACAAGGCCTCATAATCTCCCACAGAGGAGACAGACTTTGTGCATAAAACAGTGTGTCTCTTCCATTCATTCAGCAAATATTTATTAACCATTTACTATCTGCCAGGCCTCAGGCACAGAACAGAACCAAGAGTTGCAAAGACACGTAAATACAGGAGTCAAGCAGGAACATGCTCATTGCCCAAAAGAATTAGACATGATAACAGAAGGAGTTGGAGTGGAGGCAGGGTTCCTGTGACAACCTGAAGAGGTAGAGTCTACTGAAGGGGTCATATGCTATTCCGCTCAAAACTCCATCCAGAAAAACAGATCCAGCAACACCAGATCTTCTAATTTTGCAGAAGAATCCGAATATTGCAACTTTTCTGTGAAATCTTTTTAAATGTTAGCAGCAAATGCAAACTATTTTTAACAGTGTACAACCAAACAAAGCAATGCTACAGGCTACCATGTGGTAACCTGAAAATATTCATAACACAGAAGCTCACAAAGTGTAGCAGACCCTGCCGCCCACTGAAACTACCCTCAGCACACTGGCATGTCCACCTCTTCACCCTTCCCACCCCCAGCCCTTTGCTGCTGCCCCGCCCCTCCCCAGTGGCTGTTTCCCCAGTCCTTCTTCACCACCTACACGCTCCACCCACTTTGACCCCCCATCCTTTACTCCTAAACAGCCTGTCTCTTCCCTTCCAAAAGAGTATGGCCCAAAG